AGGCAGAGGCGAGAGGATTGCTTGAGTCCAGGGGTTCGAGACCAGCCTGGGCAACTTGGCGAGACCTCATCTCTGCAATAAATAAAAAAAATTAGCCAGGCGTGGTTGCACAAACCTGTAATTCCAGCTACTTGGAAGGCTGAAGTGGGAGGATCACCAGAGCCCACCGAGAGCGGCCACTGCACTCCAGTCGTGACAGAGTGAGACTCCAACTCCAAAAAAAAAAAGAATGAGAGAGACAAAGGTTCAGGTCTGGGCTCTCTCATGGGCAGCTGGTGAGAGAGTCCCAGAACCACCTGGAGCCTCACCTCGTTGCCTGGAGGATAGCCTGGCCACAACAGGGTCCCTTGTAACTGACAGCTGGGAAAAAGGGTGAAACAGAGCTCCTCGCCTGCCCCTGCTGGATCCTCTCCCTGCAGTCATGCAGAGCAGAGCCACAGGGCAGTTTGTGCAGGTCCCCAGGGAAGTCGGGAGCCGGAGGAGATAAAGACACTTTTTTTTTTTTGGAGTTGGAGTCTCACTCTGTCGCCCAGACTGGAGTGCAGTGGCCACTCACGGCACCGCAGCCTCGGCCTGCTGGGCTCTGGCGATCCTTCCACCTCAGCCTTCCGAGTAGCCGGAATTACAGGCATGCGCTACCACGCCTGGCTGATTTTTTTTATTTATTGTAGAGAAGAGGTCTCACTGCCCAGGCGGGTCTCGAATCCGCAGGCTCAGGCAATCCACTCACCTCAGCCTCCCAAAGGTGCGGGATTACAGGCTGAGCCACCGAGCCCGGCACCTGTGCACTTATTAAATCCCCAGTCTCACGCGTCATTGTGCTCACTTCTCTAATGATACTTGAGTGTTATTGACTAAATTGCAATTCTCTGAATCTACCCTGCTTGCTCCCATTGCTACTTTTTGCTAAACTGTTTGCTCTACCTGAGCTAACCTTGGTGTTCATTTTTGACTGCTTAACTCTTTTTCCTTTTCCAAACTCAGCATACAAACTAGCAGTTCTGTGATGACATCCCTCAACCATACCCCTCTGGTCTAAATGTCTCTTCTCTGTTCATCATATGCTATGCGTCTTCTGTCATAGCATTTGTACCAACATCTCAGGCACACCTGCTTTCTTCTCTGCTTTTCTTCGAATGTGTACACACTTCAAAGTTAGAAACCTCAATGACAGAAACATCTCAAACAAAAGAAC